GTTCATTTATTTGTTTACAATTGCGTCGATGTTCATGATTTATAAAATTTGAAACCTGCGTTCCCCAATCAAAACATTGCTAAAATCCAAAAACAAAATTAGTGGAATACATTGTCCAGAAACAAGAAATAACTGCCTTAAATACTGCTAAAAACAGAGAACGGATATTGAATACACCGCAAGCACGATACACGGCATCCATTTCCGGATCGAAAAACGTTTAATAAAAAGATGACTGAACGAAGAACGAATAATTAAATTTCCCCAATACGGAGCACGAAAATACCCCATTACCCCCCTCTTTCATAGCGAATTTCGTAAATTTTCCGAAGAAATTGTAGCCATATTCTTCATTTCACACATCTTTTTAGTATAAAATTACAATAATGGTCAGCAAAATACTCCATATCTTAGATTATAGCAAAATACATTCGAAGTGATTGTGAAAATCAACCTTTTGGGCAAGCTACCTCATACATATGTAAAATTCGAAATAATTTTTTTTGTCTTAAAAGCTTCATTAGACATTAGTATATGTAAAAGTTTAAGAAAGCAAAAATATGTCTTTTAGAGCGTTCCTTTCTCTCAAAATTTCATCTTTTTGAAAGGGTAGGCAACCATCTTTCTCGTTGCCATAGAAACGGATTTGTGTTGGTTGGTTGTTAGGCCCTGTAGCTTGGTTGTTTGTGCGTAGTTTGAAATTTTTTTGCTGATTATGTAAATCCACAACCCAAGGGACTGGTAACGATATTCAGGCCTGGTCGCATAGCCATTTTAGACCAAAATTTCCTTCCTTGTTCGAGAACTTGGCTTTTAAGCTGAAAACACATCAAAGATTTATATTTTATCGGTATTATATTTTATTTTGTTGGTTATTGGTAACTGAAAGTTGTCTCTTAGAGACTATAGTTCCTTTGCAATGCCGAAACCCTCGAAAAAGAGGCGATTTCGTGGCCAAAGATGGGATGGTTCTGTACCTGTTTCAAATTCAAGCAACAGCAATCTTTCATCTCCATGTGCGTCTACACCAGCGATTGAAACAGCTTCAATGCGAAAGATTACCAGTGAAAATACTGAAAGAAGCGAAGATGTCGATGGTCAGCTGTCAACTATACAATTAATCAAAGATTAATCACTGTTTTAAGTGGTAATTGCAGGATTTGCAGCAGGGTAAACAGAATTTAGGAAGAATTTCAAACTCGGCTAGCTCCCTGCAAAAACAGCGCTTGACGACCATCCATGGTTTGGAAAAGGGTCTTATCCCTCCTTTTTAAATTGTCTACACAGGCACCCACTCTTACCAATGTCCCCTTGGAAAGTAGCGGGTAACTCGGATAACTGGATAAGGATTAGAACTAGAACTATTTGTTGAGCCAAATGCTGTTGGAAAATTACAAGTGGAGCAAGTCGAAAGCTGGGGAAACAAGAAAAGCTGCGCTAACAAAGAAACAGCAAATTTTGCAAAAAGTGATTTGTTTAACCGATTGTGTAAACCTTTCTTCTTTCATTAAAAGTCCACGCACTTTTGAACCACGTTGTCATCGAAAACACTCTAACTCGTTTTGAATCTCCTGCAATATGCTGACGCATTTTGCATTGTAACTTACCCTCATACCTGTACCAGATCTTTCTTTCCTCTGTCGACGCCTATCAACTGTTTACCCGTCTAAAACTAAAACCTTTCGTCGAGAAGTAGGGATTTAGATATCGTACACATGCAGAGTTTAATATAGCTGCCAGCTTTCGCTGGTATTTTCACAGTACTAACCGATGACTTTTAATTTAGAAACTCGGTACACTTTTTTCTCTGTAATCCGTTGATCTACGCGATGAACATAAGTTAATTTAATTATTAAAAAGATTCGGTCTTCAAAAAACTGATTGCGTTAAACATTTTGAATCTTTGTGAGCGATGAACCAGTCGGCAATCGTAATCGTATCATGAAAGTCAATGCCGAGCATGGCACACAAAAGAGCCATGGACGAAATTTCTTATTCGATGTATATTTTTGCTGCCCATTTTGTATTTTTTCTAACTATTTTGATTTAGCAAGGGGCCTAAGGTGCCGCATGCAGTCTTGGTGGGGGTATTGTTCGCATATTTGTGATCACTGCATGTCCGTGATGTTCACGTTGGGCGTATCAGAGCCTGAAACCTGAAAAATATTGCAGGTGCCAAAAGGGCGTGCGTACCAAATAGCCTACAAATATATCTAGATTCAATTAAAACAATTCATTTAAAACCTGGTACGAGGTAAAGTCAGTTGGATTGGAAAGCATTTTGCTGGGAGGTTAATTTACATCACAATGAGAGCGTTGCAAAAACCAATCCGATACTGACCGCGCATCACTAGCGAACCGCCGCACCACCGGTTCGTTGCAGAAATTGAGACGAGGGGCTTCTGTTTACATATGAAATGTTGTTATCCGGTATGGTTTTTGCGTCGGACGTAAAGTAATCCGATACAATGTAAACACGGCCTTATAGTTAATCGTTCGCGAACTTGTAGTGATGCAACTACCTGAAAAAATAAGAGCAAAGTTCACGGTTCGAGTGAAGGCCCTTCGTCTAGAAGTTAATTAGCAGCGCGGGTCAGGGAAAACACATACCAGTGAATATGCATGCGATCACGTGTGTTTTTCAATCATGTCAATGGCTGAAAACTAACAGATTAAAACGATAAAATGATCTTCGGTCACTCACTCACATGAAGAACACAAAAAGTAATGCAGATTGCGTCATTTATATGCCGCTAGCTAGCTGTGAGCAAGAACTTCTCTAGAACGCGTTAATATATATTTAATGAAGGCTGAACAAAGACAAGGCCTACTCTGGGACCTTAACTCGCCTTATCTCGCCCTATCTCGCAATAGAAATTGATCGAATTTTGCTTAACTCGCCCAATCTCGCCTTCTCTCGCAATGAGAAGTTGACAGAATTTTGCTTAACTCGCCTAAACTCGCCCTATTTTGCAATAAAAACCGACACAGTTTCACGTCAGTAAAACACAAATACTGTCAATCAAAATCATTTAGACTCACAATACTCACTTATATATTCTATGAGTTTGGCATTGCAACTGACATCAACATACAAGTATGCAGGGACCGCGGAGACGGGGGGGCTGGGGGGGCTTTAGCCCCCCCCCACCTTTTTTGACAGCCAAAATTATTAAAATAGAAATCTAAATGAAACTTTCTAAATTAATTAAACCTCACCCTTTAGCCCCCCCACTCTCTAATACGCTCCGCCGGCCCTGGTATGTAAGCCTGATTATCTGAAATGTTATCATATTTTTAATTTACTACATTCTCTGTAATGCCATAAAGCTGTATTGATCAAATAATTCCACCAACTACTCTACTTTAATACAGTAAGCAGGCCTTAGAAGGCATACTGTATACAGTAATACCCAGCGAAAATAATTGAACATAATAACAGGACACAAACTGCCAAGTATGGTTGAAAATTAATATTCCCATATATACTAATATACAGATCACTTATCTATTCTATTTCAACTATACAATGATATCAAAACATCAAAAGTACTTGCTTAGCTTTTATGCAGCTATCACATGACTATCAAATTTTACTAAAATACTGTTATACTTATAGCATAAAGGTCTCTGTGATATCAACAGCTCAAACTGCAAAGTTATTCGTTGAACTGTTTTTATATACAACCGGCAACAGTGCTACTGAACCAACGATACGCGCAGAATTTTAGGAGAAATATTTTAATACACAATCACATTCACAAAATTCGTGAAAATATAGATTTACAGTAAAAGCAAAGTTAAAGCACTTAAAGGTGAATATTGTAGTAAACATACCGTGCTTGCCTGTCTGTGACCAACATTAAATTTAGTAGTGACAATCTGTAGTGACAAGGCTTTTTGAATTTCATTTTAATATCAATATCATAATACATGAATATAAACATGATAAAAAACTTTAAAATGTCGATGGATATCCCGCCATATTGCGTTTGCGGAATCGAATGATTCTGACTTAAACTCCCCCCCCCCCGACCACAGAGGAATTACCGCGATGATGGGAAGGAAGATTCCGTTCACCAGGGGGGCGGGATGCTGTCTGGGAACAGATATTGAAAATATTGCTCCCTTCAGCGGAAAAATTGCAATCTGCTTGCAATACTTAGTGTTAGTGTTAATGAGAGGCAGTGAATTCTGAATATAAAAGCTTGATAGGAAATAGGAATATACTGTATTAAACAATAATACAGTTTTATACAGAGGAATCATTGTCATTTACATTCAATTACGTTTCCAAAGCAAGTAAGTTGGGCATTAATTTTGGTATTATGACCGTTGGTTATCATTTAATATGCCATTGTAGTTCGAAATTTCGTTAATTAAAATAGTTATTAAAGTGCTAAATTTAATAGTAAATAATCTATAATTTCCTAGCAAGCTTTTTAGTTTCTCTTTGTTTCATATCATTGTTTATATTAAATTAAATTAAAAATTGAATACAAGGACTGCTGCTTGCAAACAAATTCGAACCTGATTGATAATGTCATGATTCATGAAAACAGCTAAAAATTACAAAATATGTGGTGAAGCTAGTCATAGCAAGTTAGCAACTGATACTGTGAAGATTTAGGAAACAATGCAGTTCTATACACACTATGCATAATGCCTCAAATTATACAATTTGGCATCTGGCTACCAGCCTCGTTTTGATGCAACTTGTTTCCAGGTCCCGAGTTATTGTGCATATCATGTATGTATTGTAGAATATAGAATAAAACACTTTTCTAGACCTGCTACTTCAAGTACTGCATACTTGCTTTGCATAATGCACAAACAAAGCAAAATACATAGTGTGTATACAATATCCAGATTTTTCCTTAACTCGCCTTATCTCGCCTTAACTCGCAAGGGTCAGTAGCCAGATTTTTCCTTAACTCGCCCTATCTCGCCTTAACTCGCATAGGCTCGCCTTATCTCGCGGCGAGTTAAGGTCCCAGAGCAGGCCTAAGACAGCGTGTACAGAACCCTGAAAGATGGCAGTAACGTATGCTTACTGATGAGTTTTTTTAGCTTTTTAAATGGATATGTTTTCATAATAATTCATATAGTAATGTACATGCAGTGAGAGGAATTAAGTCAGTGATATTCACAGCTTGAGTAACATGGATAATCTTTTTGTTTGCAGATATCAGCATTATCCCCGCAAAATTGGTTTACCCAACACCAGCCATACTCGGAACAATACTTGAAACAGTACTTTCCTGACCGGTTAGAATCGTACGAGCACCCTGTGAGTTCTGGAAAGAAAATGCTTTTACCCAAGTACTTCTTGATGTTTTTCTGATTCATGAATTTTGCCTTGTTGATCACAGATTCCTCGCCATGGTAGTAATCGATCCAGTCCACAAGCAAGAAGTTTACTGTTTTCCCCATTGGTTCCCTTAGCCTATAGCATTCTTCTTCAGCTTCTCCTAACCACCGGGAACAGAGCGTTGCCATGTTCCAAGTACACAATCCATAGCTCCCGAATGCCGACAAATCAGTGAAATCAGCGTATGGGTAACATTTCTTCTTTGCATTTGTAGTAATACTTGAGCAACTTGAGCTTACTGCATTGCTATCCCAGCTGGATGCAATAACTCCATTACTTGTGACAAACCAGTTAGAGTGCCAAGATAAATGTTGACCTAAATTGTTGTCCATGAAAATGAATACCCTTTGATTCAGTCGTATTGCATCCCCAAGCGTTGGCCATTTCCACTCGTGACTTTTGTAATAGGTATTCATTGCAAGTTTACTGGAGCTGTTTGGTTTCCACAGTTTTAAAAGCACGTCCTTGAGACTTTTTGCAATTTCTTCTCGATATTCATCCTGTGCATTGTTGTTGAAATGGATAATGGTAACCTCATTGGGATGAGACTCCATCCACTTGTCAACTTGCAGAAGACCTTTTTCGATAGAACTAGTGTAAGCACAACTGGCGTCCCCACTGCAGTGACAATTCAATGCTTGATTGTCTCCATAGCAAGTGTCCACGTCAAAATACCTGTTAGGAATAGTATATTGTGATTGTTTATTATACTTGGCTGTGCAGCATTTATTGTTATATATTGTTAAGAAGGAAAGGTTGAATAGACCTTACGCAGAATGACGTCACAAGGCTTGAAACTCGCGAGGAATGCTGGTCTTAGTAGTCATCACCTGGGAAAATAATAGTGGCCATTTTGAATTGTTTAATTTCCCCGGGCGATGATTACTAAGACCAGCATTCCTCGCGAGCATCAAGCCTTGTGACGTTATTATGCATAAGATCTATTGTAGTGGTTTTAGAAAGGTTTTAGTTGGGTTTTAGAAGAAATAATAAAGTCAAGTTAAAAGTAGTACAGCGCTAACATACCTAATGCCAAATTCCAATTGTCCTGAAAAGCTTTTGTCTTGATTGCGGTAAAAGCACGATGCGGCATTGACGCCACTCCAGTATTTAAGAATCCCATCAAATCCAGATCCAGCGTTATGACTACCAGGATAGGTGACTTGGTCAATGCGGAGATCACAAAGTTCAGACAGACCATTGCAGTTGATAGCAGTCGTGAATTTTACGGTGGCAGTCCCTAAAACAAAGAACAAAATGCGAAAAGCGTACATTGTGGCCCTGAATTGTCACGACTGAATAATGAAAATTAGGAAAGTGCAAACTCGTTTTATAATTAAAAAGCGTTAAATAGGTAAACAAGAGCACAATCCTAAGGCGTGATTGGCTAAATGGAAATGGGTCTAAATTGTAAAGATTCTACAATTTTCAAAGTCAAGCAAAAAAGCTAGACTAATTAAAAGTAACGCGAATATTATCATCCTTTCGTATTACAAAAGTCATCTTGGTTTTCGTGAAACAACGAACTTTTAACAAAATTAAAATATTTAGGCACATCTTTACAACAAATATCAGCTTCTGCTCCCTTATTTTAATTAAAATTACAATTTCTATTTGTGTTCCGGATGATCAGCTGTGAACTATACAATGACAGATTATTCACTGTTTCAACTGGTAATTGCAGGATTTGCAGCAGGGTAAACAGAATTCAGGAAGAATTTCAAACTCGGTAATCTTTCCCCCGCTTATTAAATTGTCCGCACATGCACATGACCCTTTTGCCAATGTCCCAGAGAATGGAGCAAATCGAAAGCTGGGGAAACAAGAGTAACCTGAATATTATCCTGTTCGATCACGAATGTCATCTTCATTTCCATGAAATAACAATTTTGGTACATATTTGACACAAATATTAAGCACTCTTACTTAAGCTCCCGTATTTTTAATTAAAATGTAATTTTCCATTTATTTTCCTGATGATCAGCTGTGAACTATACAATCACACATTATTCATTCTTTCAAATGGTAATTGCAGGATTTGCAGCAGGGTAAACAGAATTTAGGAAGAATTTCAAACTCGGCTAGCTCCCTGCAAAAAACAGCGTTTGACAACCATCCATAGTTTGGAAAAGGGACTTATCCACCCTTTTTTTAATTATCTACCCCCCCCCCCCCCCCATCTTTCTAAATCTATCAACGGATCAACCGTCTTCGACGGTGTTTCCACAATGGTTTCGCGTGTGATTTCGTTAAAATTAATATAAATTCTGCTAATGATATGATTTCGAATGTATGATAAATTTGAAAACATTATAATGCACCTAATTTTTAAAGAGTATGTGATTTCCAAAGAATACACGATTTGTTGTTCAAATGATCTTGTAATACGCGCTTCCGGAAAGTGCGTCACCTTGGGTTTAGATCTTTATTTTCGTGACTGGGACGTTGGGTTTCAACTGCGAGTCTGGGACGTTGGGTTTAATATCACATACATGGTACTATTGTTCCCAATAAACTGCGAAACGACCGTTTTTTAGGCGCTTTGTCAGTGTCAGTTTTGTCAATTACAAAGGACATATTTGTGTACCACGCGATTACAATTCTTTGCAAGCGGCGTGTGAAAAACTGCAAGTTTCAGTTTGACAGTTATGGCAGTTGAATGGTCTCTAATTTTATTGTCCAATCAGATGATTTAAAATTCAAAACTACGCATCTGATTGGACAATAAAATTATAAACCATTCAACTGCCAGAAATGTCAAACTGAAACTTGCAGTTTTTCACACGCCGCTTGCAAAGAATTGTAATCGCGTGGTACACAAATATGTCCTTTGCCATTGACAAAACCGTCACTGACAAAGCGCCTAAAAAAACGGTCGTTTCGCAGTTTACTGGGAACAATAGTAACAAAGCTCTATAGCCAAAGTGAAGTACGTTCCGGAAGGATATATTCTTCATGAAAGGCTGGTTAATTAAGCCATTTCTCACAAGACCTGCTCCAAGAAGCCTTTAATAGACAATTCCCATCATGGACTAATTTTGAAACTAGGCAAGGAGATGCAAATATCACCACAGCTAGAAAGAGCATACTAAAATTAGTAAAATTACAATGTTTGGTTGCGAAATGTTGTAAAATGCGGAAAATATAGCCTTGCAAAGTTTGCAAATTTTGTATACCTTTGTATTGCGTGCAGAAATTGCTAAAATTTTCGGCCCAAATGTGTCACTCACCCAAACGGCTCGTACAATTTTGGCACATATCACTCGTAGTGTTAATCATTAATTGCTTTCCTTCCCGTGTGATTACCTATGCTAATTAACTTATGACGCATGCATTATTTGATTGACAGTTCTTAATCATTTGATTGGCGTTCCGAAATTTATTATTAATTAAACTGATCTATGTGTTTGGTCAAAAGCGCTATTTTATCTCGTTTTCTTTTGTCTTGCCTGAGATATGTAACATGTGTGTAGTCCAGAATGATGAAGGGCATTTTGTTGATTGAAAATTCTCGTTAAAATTTTTTATACATATTTTAGACCTGCCAAAAATGCAAGCATACCTATAGGATTCGGTCGTAGCCCCCGGTGCAGGGACGCCGTGGGTGGGTGGGGGGGGGGGGGGGGGGGGGGGGGGAGGCATGGCCCCTCCCCTATTGTTGAGACGCGTCGGAAAATTGGAAATTTGTTATGTTGTCGGAATTTTTGTGGTCAAGCGTACCTGCATATACGAGCGGGAATTTTATTTCTCTTCGTTGTTTGACAATGCGAAACATGAATAAAAAGTATATAGATGAAATATGGGCAAATCGTTAGAATGTGCCAAATTGCAACCAGCAGTGATTTGGATAAATTAGAGATGTTTTGTATGGCTCAAGAGATTTCTCGCTTACAGTAACGTAAATCAAAAACGTTTTGCAGCTGTTCAAACATATATTATAAAATCTGCTCACTTTTCTTAATTATTGGCTGGATGATCTTTTTTGTCTTTGTTGTGTGAGTGTGTGTGCGCATGTGCCTTTTATTAATTTCTTCACAGGCACATTCATATTGTATTCGATTCATGTAAGAGCCCAAGACAAGCAACCAGTGCATGCTTTTGGCTCAAACATACAGTTTAAAATATGTTAATAAAAAAATATCGGAGATCGCACTCATGCAGTTTACGTTTTCCCAATATAAAGTTTATAGAATAGTCAATATTTAAGAGTTATATGCTTTATATGATTCCACACATATAACACTAGCATGGCTCCCCCCTCCCCCGAAAAAAAGGTGTTTGTCGGGAACTGATGTTGCCCTTGGCCCCCTAAAGCATTGGACTCACGACGCCTCTACCTCGGTGACAGTCCAGTTCTGAAGTGCTGACTATAGGTATGTGGAAGTGCTGACTATGTGCCAGTGTATAGGTATAGACATATTGCGAGACATACATGGTCAATTCTAGTTTAATTTAATCAAACCATAGCAGCCCAAAAATGCGTGGTATTTGTATTGCGGTGCCCGTGCCATTTTTGGCACCGCATTATATTCTGCCTGTGAGTTTGTTAGTTTGTCCGTTTGTTTGTTTGTTAGTTTGTTAGTTTGTTCGCATCAATCCGTTTCCTTAATCGCCTACCAAAAATTCCTTGCACGTGCTCAGAATTTATTAATAAGCAATTATTGGATGAGGCTGAGCATGATATCAAGAATTATTCAGACCGAGGTCAATGTTATCTGCCGAAGCGAAGCTGAGGCGGATAACATAGACCGAGGTCTGAATAATTCTTGATATCATGCGAAAGCAGAATCCAATAATTGTTTTATTATACATTTAAAGACATGAGAAAAGTATAAAACGATTCCTGTTCATGAGGTAGGAAAAGTACAATTTGAATATCAAACACCTTGCACAAAGTCAAAGGTCAGCTAAATATTATATTTCTACTTCTATTTACCCCTTTGTGGCTTTTTTCGTGCTTTCACTATCCTTATCTTATCTGCCAATAATTTGGAGAGTTCACTTTCATTCAGCGAAGCAAATCTGCTGTCGGCCATTGTTTTTTTTCCCGCGCTTATAGGTTCAAGCTTTTGGCCGCGCAAGGGTTTGGGCACGAGAGAGTCCAATAATTTTTTTTGGGATGCAAGTAACAGGTAGGCAATTTGTCTGCGCATGCGCGCAGAAAATCAATATGGCGACATATATGTATATGGCGACATATTTGTAATATTTCGAGGAAAACATTAAGCTGTGCATTCCAAAGGTTTTAAATAAAAAATAAGTACTTTTGCTTTATTTTATTGCTTTTTATGCTTTGAAAACAGGCAAGCTCATATTTTTTGAAAAAATTTTATCTAATATTTTACCCATTATTTGTTTAATCTGAACAAAAATAGATAGAACACTTGGCTATATATAAGTTATAAAGGTATTGTTAGCTGATCTGAAAGATTTCAGTATTCCAGGTACACATTTTAACAAAGAATAAAATTAAAATATATGCATATCAAAAACAATGGTTTTTATTAGAACAACACAGAATAAGTTGTTATTTTCTATTTTTACAAAAACAAGTTTGAAAACAGGATCTAGTCCTCCAGCTTGATGTCATATTCCATTTATTTGGATATTTGAATAAAGGAATGTGAAATAATAATTGAAACTTGTCCAAAATTTGATACCAACACTGGAATGAACAGATACTATCACCTAAAAATAAAAGAAAACAGAACTTAAATTTATCATATAATGCTATGAAAAATCTTAGATACTACAAGCATATAGTAAACACAACTCTTTAACAAATTCACTAAAATAAGTTAAGTTATGCTACGATAAGAGGATGGCAATATATGACAACATCAAATGTTACCATCTTCAGTGTCCAAAAAAAGTGCCGCGCGCATTTTTCGTGGTCGCATAACTGAAATTGCCACAAACCCAGGTGAAAAAGCAATTAGAAAAACCTGGTTTTGGGTGATGAGCATAGTCAATTTCTTGACTTATTCAATTTTCTAAGTTTTTCCAGGTAAACAGGTTCAACATTGAAATAAGCCCCATTCGGGATCTCATAGGGTCCAAAATATTGTGTATGAACCAGATTTTTTTCAATTTTCTGTGATTTACATAACACTAATTATAATTTAAGGGTCAACCAGTATTGTTCAAGACATATTTCCCTTCCAGAACACCTTTTCAAAATACTAACCCAAGCATGTCAAAAATAGTGTACATTTACAAGGGCAATTTCAACCCTTTGGCACATTTTTCCCATGAATGATTTTAATTCTAATATAAAGACTATAGATA